AAATTTAATTCTTTAATTAGAACGTTCAAACAATTCTTCTGTTTTAATTTGTGTTGTGTCAGCAGCCTGCATTTCTAATATAGAAAAAAATTTAATATTTATACTACTATATTGCTACCGCTCTGCGAGCGTGAGGAGCGAAGCTCTGTACCATTTTGGCTACCTCTATTTTAAAAATAATTGTAAAATCCAAGACGACAAAAAGAAACCCATATTTGGGTTTTTTGTTAGTAAAGTCGCAAAGAGGTAGTTCGCAAACAGTAGTTTAAACCTCCTATTGAATAGTTATTAGTAAATTGATAAAAATTATTTAATCTGTATTCTTGTGTTGTGCTCATTTTAGGGAAAATAAAAATAAAAAAATAAATTAATTTAAAAATAAACTCGGTACTATATTTCCGAATTTTGGGAAATTTCAGATTCGCGTCCCTCGCGATTTAGTTAAAGTATTATAAAATATAGATAAAATGAGGTCCCCCCTAAATCAACATAATTTATATACTACTCCATTTATTATCAATTTTAAAAAATACGAAGAAATCTGTCCAAAATTATATTTATCAATTATAATTGGTTGATTTTTTTACAACTCAAAATTTACATGCAAACAAAAAATGGTGATAATTTCTTGATTTATTTGGAGACATAATTATTTATTTGATGATATGTGATTTGTTAGTGGTAAAAAACAATCAGATATGCCAAACCAAATAAATCAACAATTTAAAATAAAAGCTAAAAAAGCGCAGTTGTGAAAAAATATAAAACAACACCAGTTCTATTTATTACAACAAATAAAAAAGTTGGACAAAAAAATCCAACAAAAACCTTTTTAATACAAAAACGAAGTTCAAAAAAAGAAAAAATAATTGAACGTTTTGTTTTCATTAAAAAGAACTAAAAGAAAATTTTTTTTGTTCCGTAACGGCTCTATTTACCGTAACTTCTCTGTGGCTCACCTATATTTGAAGTATCATTTACCGAATGGTGTTATCTGTCACATCGTTTGTTTATTGTTATATTGTCGTTTATCTTATGTTAGTTTTAAAGAAACAATTATACTCACTTTTAGTTACAAAATGGATCACTGACCAAACAACGAACCTGGAAATTCAAAAAAAATATTTACCCAATATTTGGGTGATTTCTCGTTTTTTTATTTAATAATTTTAACTGTATTGATTTTTAAGGGTTTATAATTGTGTACAGTTGTTGTTTCAACAAACGGAAAATAATAAAAAAAAATAGTAAATAATGGGAAATAAGGACAAAGGGTTTTTATATATTTTGGAAACGGCACGGAGTTTTGAAATGCAGTTTACCATCCAACCCGTTGATGTTTTTATTGGTTCAATTCCACTTCATCGAAAATGTTAAAACTTGTTCTGAGCTTTGCTGCCTTATTCCAACATTCCAATGCATTGATAATTGATTTGTACAATCTAGCACCAACAACTTTGTCTTCAAAAAAATAAAACCTTCCGGGAAAACCAACTTTATAATCTCCTTTATACTCTATTTCTTATTGTTGTTGTCTTCTCAATTTCCAATAGTTTTCTCGTTTTTATTTCTTTCTATCATTGAGAATAACTTCATATTTTTCTTTTTCTGTTTTTACTTCAATATTTTATTGCATTTTTGTAATTTTCAACCTTTCAACTTTTGGGTCATTTCCAAACCACTCATCGACATCCCAAAATAAAGAGTTGGAAGAAGTTTTAAAACGATTCTGTTTGTTGAAAAGGTTGACATCGAGAGGTTGTAGGAATCCAATTAAATTTTCTACAAATAAAAATGGGATAAAATTGAATGTTTCACAAAATATTTTGATTGTTTGTTGTGAGAATGACAGTTGTCCATTAATAAAAATATTGGACCTTTATATGCAAATAATAATCGCTTTTGTTTGTTTTGGCTTTAAAACCGTCGGTAAACCATTCTTTGAAAATGCCAACATCCATGGTGGATTTTTCAGAAAACTATCGTTGTCATAACCCCCCATCTCAAACTCTTTTTTAACTTCTTTAAGTGGAACAATTATTGTTGGTTTAATTTGTTCGCCTCTCGCATTCACACGTGCTACAAGATACAACTTTTTGACACCACGATCAACACCACATCTCACAACTGATAATTTATACGAGTTTGGAATTAAACAATACCCCCTCTTGTTGTCAATATAATCATGTTGTCCGCTTTCATCAACATTAAAAATAAATCTGGCTGGCACATTTTTAAGAATGTCTTCGATTTTCTTGAAATAAGTTTTCACTTCATTAGGATTGAAGTTCATGTGACAATTATTAACAAAAACAACTCCAACACATTTTAATTGTAATCTTTGGGCCACATTACGAATTCTTTGTTGTGTGTAGTCAACTTTGAAGTTGTTTGTAATATAGTTTGATAGTAGTGTGTAAAACACTAAAAAAATCCATCTTGTAATTTTTCTAATACCCAATTTTTTAAAATTAAAAAGTGATTTAAATTGAGTTTTCTTTGTCTTTTTGCCTCACTTTTTCCAAAAAATAATAAGCATTTGTTTTCCTCAAAACGAACTTTTTGAGATGTTGAAGAATAATATAATATTATTTTGTAAAAAATACAATTTGGAGAGTTTTTATTGAGAGAAAATCAGGAAAAT